AGGTGCCCCCGCCCCTGGAGGGGGGAACTGCACCCAGACCCAGGTGGTGTTTCCCTTTTCCCTGCGGTGGGGGGAGGCAGACCGCCCCGACTCCGCAGCAGCAGGAAGGCTCCACACTCCAGACCGCAGTCGGACGGCCAACTCCTCCTCCTAGCCCCCCTGCTCCACCAGGTCGCAGAGAACGTCTGTAATATTTTCGTTTTTGTGAGTTGAACACAACATATTAGCCAAGAAAAAAAAGATATTTATTCTTTATTAATGATATCATGGATCTGTGTGCTCAGATTATCGTTATTGTTTGATAAGGATTTATCTATTTATCGTCTGAATTAATAAGTTAATCGTGTAGCTAAATGCAGTTTTATATCAAATGGACAAAATATTTAATTTTAAATAAGAATTTTATGAATAATTACATCTTGAAATCTCAGCTTTTTTCTCTACCAGATTATAGCAGGTTATTTTTGTAAAAATGAGGCTTTAGCTGTATTTTGTCATAATATTTTAAACGCATTTTGGGGTAAAATGTTAGCCATAAAGGAAGGGAAGTACAAAGTAGCATAAAATTCCAGACAAAGTGCACATATACTCGGTTATTTTATACCACTTCTTTTTTATTTAGTGACCTGTTAGCCCCAAAGCTTTCCGAGGTATTTTCTTATCAGGACTTTATTTGGATAGGTTTGCCTCCTTGTCGTGACACCAGCATGCTCGGGCTTTATAACACTTGCTGTTTACTAACCTTTCATTATACCTGAGTCTGCTTCAAACTCGCCTCTGCTCAGAGAGCCGCCGTCTAATGACTCAGGTCTTGGCTGCGTGTCAGCTTTATCAGGTGACGCTGTTTGCTGGCTGGGGGGTCACACCGGGGTCAGCTGCCTCCACCCCTAGAGAGGCAGGTGAAAAATAAATTCCACAAACAGTCTAAACGAAGAGAGCGTTTCAATGGAAACGGCTTTTCAGAGTTAGGAGAAGAGGGATGAGGAATGTATTTGGTCAGGTGTGGCGCATCAAGGTGGAGGGCTGCAGGAAGTATTCACTGAAGTAAAAGTAGAAATGTGACACTGCACAAGTAAAAGTCTTGCATTTGCAGTCTTAACTGATAAAAGAAATTTGTTCAGTTAATTCATCTGTATTTTGAAGATCCAGTAAAGGCTAAGCTAACTGGGCAAAGTTGTCTTAATTAATTACTGATGTCAGCGTATGTGAGAAACCATTCTGCCTGAAAAATTTGCTGGCAGCTGCTGCTAACCTTTGAACGTTGCAGTGAATTCAGTATTTTTAGCCCTTCAGCAAGTAGTTTTTGAAACAGACACAAGACAACAGCTGCTAAAGGTAACTGGCCTTGTCCTCTGTTTGATCAACCGGTCACGAGTACCGCTGATCCTCTCCCCTCTTGCCGTAGAATGCTCTTGTAATAACACGTCTGCTTTAAATTAACAGCCATCAGCTCTCGTTTTGTTTTGTTTTTTAAGAATTAACCCCTCATTTCTTGAAAAGGCTTTTATTTTGAAACATGTGAAGTGAAGTTTGTGAAGAAATACGAATACTGACCGTCTGACAGCTGGTCACTTATTTGGGTGTTATTCTACATAGCAGAGAATAAGTGAAGGAGAAACCATCGCACAGGAGAGAGAGAAGATCAGCAGCTCATGGTACTGGTCAGATTGGAGCCGAGGCTGGAGATAGAGTTGACTTTATGAAGTGCTCTTTAACAAATAGGTTTGTAAGGAATGAAGCCCTGGCTGATTGAATCCATGTTTTTGATAAACTGCCTGGCTTTGAATGCTTTTTTGGCTCACAATTAGCTTCATATATTTTGTAGCACATGAAAAACACCATATCTATTCCATTCCATTCAATTGTATTTGTATAGCGCCAAATCACAACAACAGTCGCCTCAAGGCGCTTTATATTGTAAGGTAACAAGGTTAACAACTGAAAATCTACACCTGACGGTGCCAGTGTGCTAAAGACGTCTTTCCACTGCCCCCAAATGGCTAAAATATCACCTATGGCAGCTTTGTCATTGACTAGTTCTGTTACTTTGGTGGATCATTATAATTTGGTATTAATTAGTGATCGCTTCATTATACTGGGGTATAATATAAAATAAATGCACATTTCTTCTATATATTTGAAACATCAGGTACATGAAATGTTCCCTTTATGCCGTCTAATCCAACCAATATGACGATCGCGCTTCGTTCATTTTTTTAAGCTTATCCATAAACAGCCATTCACCCCATTAACATATAGAAAAGGGTCAGAATGACAGGAATTCACTGTAGTCCATCATCACCGTTGTGTGTCTGTATATGTAAATTACTGGACAGATTGTATTTATTGTTTTATGAAACACAGCCTTGCTTCGTCTGACATTTCTCTCCTCCTCCACCTCCACAGTGTCCTCTTCAAGCTTGGTGAGAGCGTCCACCTGACTTCCTCGGTGCCCGGCAACCAGAGCGCATTTTTCCACCCTCTCATCGCGGTGACCATGACAACTCCTAATAACCCGCAACAGCGTGCCGGATGATGAGTCAGTCAACAGACGCAGAGGAGTGACGACGGCGGGCACGGTGGTGGAAACGAGAAAAGGGGACAGTGGAAATAAAACAAACAAAACCCCCCCAACTCACCTGCACCTGA